CCCAAGTCAGAAAGCTCCAGGTCCCTGGTTTTATAATTATTCTTTCCTCCAGAAGTGCTTACTTACGGCACTGCACTTGGTGTTGTCTGTTACCCCGAAGAGGGGCCACCACAAGGAAGTTAGAGGTATTTGAAGGTCTTTGGTGTTTCCGCTGCTCTTCTTTTCAGGGCTCGTCCTCACTTCCCAGGTACTCACTTCTCTGAATGTCTGGCCCATCTCCAACCTACTTCCTGCCTCCGCACACAGATGGACACTTCATGAGGCTCGCCCTAACCTCCAGGCTTCTGCCATGCTTGTCCCTCACATCTCCTCCTTTGCCAGAGCCCAGCCTAAGGGAAATGCCTGCACAATTATATTTTTAGAAATTTCAGGCACCATGTACAGCCAACTGGGGACATATGTTCAGCTCAGCAGGCATTTCAGATATCCTCCCGCCCTCCCCCTGCCTCCCCCACCCCCAATTGCAACTGCCTGTCTTAATCCCAAACTGCTCCCGAGCAGGCCTGCGACCAAGGCAGCCTCTTCCCTCAGCCCCTGGACCTTGGGGCTCTGAAGCTTCAGTCCAAATTCTCTCATTGTTCACCTTATTTTAGCAAATGTTGTACAAAATAGCTGGCTCCGTTGTGCTGGTACTTATGATGGCAAGATTTTGCCTACTTTTGGAAATTTTTACAATTTATGTTGAAAGTAGGAAGGTGTCTTGTCTGGTTGGGTTTTTCCCCTCCCCTTTAAAAAAGTGATGAGACCTGCAAATAAATATACAGTGTTCTCCTTGATCTTGTTCAGTTTTTAAAGTGGGTGGAGTAGAGTCCTACTTTTTTGGGTTTTATTGTCAAATTTGCCATTGGGAAACAATATCAAGAACTCCAGGAAGAGACAAAGCATATAAAGAGAAATTTTAAAGAGAATATTCTAGGTGGTTAGAGCTCGTATTGACGCTGACCAAATCGCTGTAGAAAGTCGTGACTCTCCTCTGTACAGCAGGGTTAATTATATTCGCAGAGCACATTGGAAGTGCCTGTTGAAAACTGTTGGGTAAGTGCAAGTATTGCTCATTATTAACCCTGCCTCGCAGTTCCTTTCTTTCATGAGAGAAAGGGGGAGTGGGTGTTTAGCAGTTCAACACTTCGTCTCCCGCTAGGGATAATTGCTTGATTTTCTTTTATTGTTCAGGCACTTCTCGAATTAGATTAATTTCTCTATAGTCCATCTCTGTCTATTCAAGACAGCAATTTCTTTGGCTAAAAATATAACAAGACATGATACTCATTCGCATATAAAAAGTGGACCAAACCTCCTTTTATTTCGAAACCTGTTATTTTGGAAAATGTTCTTTCCAGCTGAGCATTTAAGATCCCACCATCGGGTTTGCTCCATCACAGAGCACTTACAGGTTCGCTGTGCCCACAGCTGCATCTCTGCCGCCAGAGCAGAGGTGCCAGTCAGTCCAGGCAGTGCCTGCACAGAGCTGCCAGTTCAGGGATTCAGCACCAGACAATGGCAGCATTCCCATTACACCCAGGGCTGGAGCACCTCTCAGGCTGAGATTGGAATGAACTCGCCAGATGCACCAAACTATCTAAAACAGCGAGCTCCTCTGAGCCACCATGAGTGGTACTTGCTTTCTTACAAGACAACAAGCCTGTCTTTCAGCCGCCACTGCAGTCAGTGCTCAGTGGTGTCTGTGTTGCTTCAAAAGGGCCCTGTGGGGCACCTTGCCTGTGGAATGGTGTGTGCATCTGTGTGCGCATGCGCGTATGTTAATGAGTTGGATCTGGAGTGTCTAAAACAGGCTTTAAATAAACTAACAGATTAATAAATTCAGTATCTAACAGTACCTCAACCACAACAAAGGAAAACAGGACAATGATTAGTGAAATGAGTAGGAGTACTAGTATTTACCAATAGATACACAGAATGAGCATACATTTAGTTCTGAGTTTCTTGGCAGTACAGTGAGCATGGTTTGGATTATGTAATTATTGTTTCATAATAAAAAGAAAGCAACAAAATTGATCTGGGAAGATAAATATTTTCCTGGCAGAAAATTCTAAGATGAACTTATTTCACAGGATTGTCTATTAGACACGTAATGAAGAGCGTCTTCAACTGACACAGAAATATTCACATAGATGTTGTAAATACCAGCCCTCTGTAAAAGATGACGACGTATATGAAATGGTTCATGAAGACTTTGCTGAGGAGCCTGTATGTCTGGTGTTCTGCCTTTCCTAGAGGGCTAACCTAGCTAGTCTCACAGAGGGTCCCTAACTGTGACCAGTGGGTCGGTACACCCTCTGGACCTGCTGCTTCTTAGCCAACTCACTGGTGCATTCTCTTGTCTGAAGTACATTCCAATTGCTGGTCGCGGGATCTGAAGGAGGCAGGCTTAACATTCTGTTTGAGATTTTGGGGTCCAAACTCCAAAATGAAGATCAGTCCGCCTCTGCACAGAGTTGGGCTTTGGGGAGCTTGCAAGAAGGGCCAACTTTTCCTAGAGTAGCTTTCAACCTGCTCTCCCTGCTCTCACTTTTAGATGCACACTGGGCCCCCAGAGCATGGAAGAACTATTTCACTCAAATGTGTTTAATGGAATGGTTGCATTAAATGCCACGAGGGTCCAGGCAGGAAGTGAGGGAGCCAGGCAGCCGGTGTTGGGGTACACAGGCCCTGTTTTGTGTCAGGGCTGGGACTGGCGAAGTGGCTGAGGGGCCACCTTCACTCAGCTCTGACTGATGGATGTCCCCACATGTGAACTGTGGCCCAGGATTGCCTGAGCTTCCAGTTTCAGGAGAGGCTAGAAATCTTGATTTTGCAAGGTACCTGCTTAATCAACTATCTTAACCATAAAATAGCCTCAGATTGGCCCAACAGAATTTCAGATTTTTAACAATTTCAGATTTTGAATCTTGATTTAAAAAACAATCAAAGTTGCTTTCCCTGTGAGCTCGTTTAACTGACCTAGTAAGTGGGAATGGTCATTTCCCCCCTTTTAATTGCTTGAATCCCCCCCACCCCCATACCTACAATGATTTTCATTCTAATGCAGATGGTGTTGAGCTGGTTTCTTGCAATAGTTGTTCAGCATGCTCACCCTGTTGCTTAATGTAGCACCACATTTGTGGGCTAGTACCATGGACAGTTACCACAGTTGTTTAAGCTCCACAGTCTGAAATCTGTTTCTGGACCACCTAGTATGTTAGCCGGTGCCGATTCTGGGATGTATTATTAGGGATTTTTTTGATGTGTGGTTTTCATTAAATGGTGTACTCAAGTAATTAAGTTATGTGATTGTTTACATTTGTCTAATCATTTTTTTCCGTTTTATTGAGATATAATTGACATATAACATTGTGTAGTTTTAAGGTGATGACTTGATACACTTACGTGTTGCAAAACGATGACCACCCTGGCATTTAGCCAACACCCCCATACCCTCACATAATCACCATTTGTTTTTTGCAGTGAGAACATTTAAGATCTACTTTCTTAGCACCTTTCAAGTATATATGTCTGGTCACCTTTCAATAAGGAGGGGCGGGGGAGTAAAAAAAAATTAATAGTATTTATTGAGTCTTTTCTGTGCCATGCATTGTGCGGAGTGCTGTAGCTATAGTAACTGGTGTAGTTTTCACAAAGCTCTTAAAGCAGGTATTATCAATATCATGATCATCATCATTTCTACGTTATAAGTAGATTTGGGTACTCGGGTTGGGTACCTTAAATAAGTTGCCTGAGGTCCCACAGTCAGTAAGTTTTGGAGACCAAATGCCAAGCCCAGAGCTAGACCAGTAAAATAGTTTTCCTCTATTGAAAAACAGGCATTATTTTGGATCACACAGTGCCCTGAAAACCCAATGACAGTAAAGAACACAATCCAAAGAGCACTGAGGAACATCCTTGTATTCCCTCCCACCTTCCTTCCACCTTGTAATCACTCAGAAATGAATTATGAGAAGAGTCTTACAGAAATTTACAATATGTTTGGGGCTTAAGCATATGTTGAACTTGCTGCTTCCACCAATTGTCAAGGTTCACAATTCTTCAGCCAATGGACACAAACCTTCCTGGTATTGTCTTGGTTTAAGGGAACACATTTCCCCATTTCTTTCCAGACACAGGGAGGAAGCCAACCTAGAGCTTGTGAGCAGACTGAATATTGCTTAATTTGGGAGATGTAAGCTCTTTAATAGTTGAGTGTAAGGATACTAATATAATAATATAATATACTAATTTTCTTAGTATCCCAGTGTTTTCGATAACTATAAATATCATTAAATTTTAGTATAATTTTTATGAGTAAAGACTTTATCAAGGACCTAGTCTAAAATACAACTTCCTTTTTTAAATTCATGGTTAAATCAATGAGAGCTATTTGGCAAAAGCTCAGAATTATCCCTGCTAACTTGTTTTTAATAGTATTTGATTTATATCTGTGGTCAGAGCTACAACACATGCATATATGTGTGTTTACTAATTGCATCCATATGCATTTGAACACAGTGTTATTGGTAGGAAATGAAGCATAAAACATGAAAAATGTATAATTATTAAGGGTTGAAATGATAGTTTTTAAATCCTTCTGGGACAGGTATGTTATGATATAACTTTGATTGTCTTTCATTACAGATGAGTGAGGTTCCTGGGTAGATCTGGTGATCAGTTTCTTACCTTTCTAATTAACTCTAAAATTCTTCCCCCTAATGGACGTAAGTGAATTAACATACTAGTTTTCCCATCAATATGTGCTTTTCCTTGGACTCATGCTGTCCACCAATTCGGAGAGAGGTGGACTCTTCAAAACAAGACTGAACTTTAGAGAGACCAGGGAGAGGACTTTGGCTGCTTTCTGATTTATCTAATCTGGTTTTATAAATACAATAAAGCACATAGCAGCATTTAATATTCACCACATACTGTTCAAAACTGAATGCATCTGCATGCGTGTGTGTCATAGTTCTGTGGAACAGTCCAGTTAATGACTCTGACTTTTATTTTAGACAATCCACGGACACAAGGGCCCGATCACTGCAGTGGCCTTCGCTCCTGATGGGCGCTATCTTGCCACCTACTCGAACACTGACAGCCACATTTCCTTCTGGCAGGTAAGCAAGGATGCTGCAGGCCCTAAAGTGTATGGCATGATCTGCTGGGAAAGGCTGCCTGCGGCTGCCAGCCCTCTCTCCCTTCTTCAACCAATGTCAAGCATTTATGGCTTGCTGATTATGTGCCCGATGCTAGCATGCAGGGTACACCGAGGACGCATGTAGCAACCTGGAAAGGGGGCGGTCTGCTCTCCCAGAACTTAGTCTCAGGGAGGCACAGGTAAATAAGAAAGCAACGCCAGCATGGAGAGGAACCCGAGGACAGGTTATGGGATGGCTTCATGAGGAAGCCACGTCTGAGCCGAGATATGCTGATGCTGAGGCAGAGTAGGGGGGAGTGGGTGCTGAGGGAGAGGTGCGCAGGGCGTGTTGAGAGGGCCTGGCCTGGAAGAACTGACGAATATGAGGCATTCAGGCAACTCTGACAGGGCCTAAGGCGTAGGGAGAGAGGCAGCCTCTTGTTAACGTCATGTCCGTTGATAGTATCTCATTCTGTGTGCATCCAGGGTTTCCCACATTGGGCTCTTCATCCCCAAATTATCAAAACATTTTTTTAAAACCCGAGCAGCGTTGACTGGCATGAGAATGCCTGTTTTATTCTGATTAAATGAGTATTAATTTTAAACAACTAATTTTTACAGTAGATCCTTTTTTATCACCAGTGATTAATCTCTATCCAATCTTCTTTTTAATTATGTTACTGCTGATAATTACAAAAAATTACATATTACCAACTCCCTCCCCCCCCCCAAAAAAATAGGTTAATTTAAAATTTTGTTGTTGCCTTTACTTTCCTAGGATGCAAGTATGTTTAATGAGCACCAGAGCGAGTCAGGCAACACCCAAGTCTCTAAACCCAACATTAGAATTTAAAATGCAGCCCATGTCTCACGTGCTTCCATTATGCCCAGATTGGAAGTCACAGAAACATTATGTCAGCCGATCAAGAAAACACAGTAAAGCCTCTTCCAGAGGTGTAGAGAGTTTTTATTTGAATTGAAGAGAGTCCAGAAAGTAGTGTTGGATCTGCTGCTGCTGTCCCCACATGGACTTGCTGATTTATTTAGATGCATATTGTTTAGTTCGAATGATGTATGATATCACACTCTTATATCATTCCAGTAAATGTACTGTAATATATTTTGAAAACTTAACGAGGTCTTATTAATAGAGAACCTTACAAAAGCCATCAGCTATTAAAATCTTTGCTGAGAAATGAGTGTTAATGAGAAGTATTGGGTGGATAATTACTCAAGTGAGACTTAGTAAAAGGCTGTGTGCAGCATCAGTTACTCTGAGAGTAGCAATAAAACACTTCCTGTTTTGATGAATTACATCTGTATGTGTTTCTATGTGTCCAGAAAATCAGCTTCCTAGGACTGGTTTGTGAAGCATTGTTTTTAAAGGGAAGGGAAAAGCCACAGTTACATTTTCGTTGGTTTACAAAGCCAGCCATTGAACGATGTGATTTGCTAATCTTTCGATTCCTTTGACTCTCCAACAAGGTATTTCTATGATTTGAATATTTCAGTTTATCTTACTCATTGATATTTGATCAAGGGGAGTTTAGTAATGAAATACAACCACAATTCTCTCCCATAAATTTTGCCACCACCCTCTAACAAATAAGTATCTTCTTTCATAAATGCTAATAATAAATTAGATGGATATTGGTTTCATTTGTTTTAATTTATTCCATCATACAGTAGAATGCTATTCAGCCATTTAAAAAGGATGATGCAAATCTATAGTCATTAACATGAAAAGATTGCCCTCAACATTTTGTTGAATGAAAAAGGCAGATTGTGAGACTGCCTTTTAATGTGAGCCTGTTTATGTAAAGTCCTTTACATTTTAACTTCTCCTTATGTATATGGAAGGTCTGGAAGGTGTTTACTGAACTGTGCTTATCTCTGGGCAGTGGGATTTCAGGGGATTTTGGCTTTCTTGTTTATACTTCTCTTTCGTATTTCAATTTTCCACAATGAGTATTTATCTTTATGATCAAGAAAACATTTAATGTTACCAAATATTACAACTCCAGGTCATTTTCCTTCATTTAAGGCTCAAATCGCCCTCACTTTAGCAAAGTTTATATCCAGTCAAAAAAAATTTATTTATATACTGAATAACAAAATAGGTAGTTGTTTTGGTGAGAATTCATTGACTGAGTTTATTGGAAAAATTAATACTCACCCTTACAACTTGAGATTCATCTCTGATTTGAAGAGGTCATAGGAAAGGATGGTCTAACATGAGGGTCTTCACCATTCCAACTTGTGCAACTGTAATAGTCCTGTCCAGAGGCAGGAAGGCTCTTGTCAATCGTCTGAGGGATGGCTCAGCTTGTAAAGGGAACCCAGATATATATAAAAAAATCTTTCCATCCTAAAATTCCAGTAAGGTATTCTTTCCCTGCCCCCTATTAAAGCCATTTCTCGTACTTGGCTAAATTTGAAGAGAAGAATTAAAAATAAGGAAGTGTGAGCATATTGAATACCCTGAGCATTTTAAGCCACCAGCAGAAATCAGGCTTCATACATATTTTCATAGAAAATCCATAAAGAATGAAAATTACTTTGTGGTTATTTATCAACTGAGAAATTAGATTTTTTAAAAGCACGGTATGCCTGTTGATGCCAGTTCATTTTAACCAGCAATTTTCTGGATCGTTTAGATATGATCTGTAAGAGGACTAAATTACTGTGCACTGTTACTTTTTGTACAAGTGAGAACTATAAAATCAAGCTCACCATCATTATTTATGTTGAAACTCTTTGGGAACCTCCAGGAAGCGATAAGGCATTCATTTTTGTCCTTTTTTGGAATTTCGGGGAAGAAAGAAGCGAGGGGCTTGGCTTTGGAGGATGACAGGTAGGGACTGCCCGGCTCTAAGTGGTGACCGAACTTTAACTGAAAGAGTTAATGATAACCATACATTTGGTTTTAAAATGTGACCTCGGACACTAGTGATTTTTTTTCACCTCTGTGCAGTGTTCGGCACTATTATTAATGCAGTAAAATCAGTAACATTAGTCATCTTAAAAGGGTTATTACTCAAGATGATTTAAATTGTGAAAATGTCAGTAGAGCCTGCACGCATCCTGCTAGAGACGCCGTGATTTACACCCTCTGACACCGTCCTGCTCCGAGCCGGCCCGGGGAAGGAGCGGCTGCATGCTGCTCTGATCCACATGCAGAGTGTCCGAGGGCTGGCCAGGCTCCGGGTGCCAGCCGTCTGCGTGCATTGGGTCACAAGCTGCATGCCTCACGCAGACCCCCAGAATCTCGCACGTCTAGATGGAGAAGAATTGGTGGGAAAAGTAGTGCAAAGAAAAACATTATTTCCGAGACCTCGTTCCTGATTTTCGGTATGGATCCCATGTGATTTGTAAATCCACGAAAGGCATGCATTGGGAAAATGTTAACTGATATTTGGAGTCTAAAGGGCTCATCAGATGCAGTCACTCGGACAGCAGTTTACTAAGATAATTGCTGCCTGATATTTAGCACTTGGACCCGAATGCATAGTTGTTTGGGAGCCATAATTTCCACGTTAGTTTTCACTTATGTGAATGGATTAAAGAACTTAAAATTCAAGTCAAATTCAGAAAAGCTGCCAGAAAGTAGAAATCAATGACTAATAAAGAGATATTGCTAATAAGGCGTGGAAGTATACTACCTTTAGCACGGCAGCAAAAGAGTGAGCCACAGACACGGTGTTCAGATGTAGCTGATTCTTATTTTCCCTTTCAAACCAAAGTAGAGCTTCCCAGAGATTGAATTTTCTAAACAGCAGGTGAGGAGGGCAGGTGTTGGTAGATAGGGATGGGGCGGTCTACTGCTTAACTTCGCTTCTTTTTCTTGAACTAATGATAAGTCCCCACACTTGCCTTTGTGGACTCATCTGTCAGCACTGTTGAGAACAAAGAGGTCTGCAATAGAAAATATCCATAATTTCCAAATACTGTCTGATTGAAACTTTTTTTTTTCAAATCCTTATTCGAGGATATTTTTTCCATTGAGTTCTAGAGAGAGTAGAAGGGAGGGAGAGAGAGAGCGAGAGAGAAACATCAGTGTACCTGCAACTGAGGTATGAACCCTTGACTGGAGATCAAACCCGTGACCCCTCGGTCCACAGGCCAAGACTCTAGCCACCGAGCAAAACCAGCTAGGGCTTGAACCGTTTTGTTAACATGCACAGTGTAGTGTCCTTCTTAAAGATTGTGCTTTCCTGCTGTCAGGTTCTACCCACAAAGAAAAATTTCTCTGGATTTATGCTTTTACTGTAACAATATCAGAACAACTTCAAATACACGGAAAGGTCCCTTCAGTGGTTCAGAATAAGCTCTCAGATGAGCACGAGCAAGGCTGTGGGGGAGAAAGTGACCGGGGGTGGGTGTCCCCTGACCTGTGCGTCAGGGAAGGGAAGGAGTCTCTGTGTGACACGTGTGCTCTCATGTCCCTGTGTCCCCAGATGAACACCTCGCTGCTGGGAAGCATCGGCATGCTCAACTCGGCACCCCAGCTGCGCTGTATTAAAACCTACCAGGTGCCGCCTGTGCAGCCGGCCTCCCCCGGCCCCCACAACGCCCTCCGACTAGCCCGGCTCATCTGGACGTCCAACCGCAACATCATCCTGATGGCCCACGACGGGAAGGAGCACCGCTTCATGGTCTGAGGCTGGCGCTGCCCGTGCCTGCTCTCGCGCGCGGGGTTCTCTAAGCCCAGATCCCTCTGTCCTTATGCTGGGTCCCTCCTCAGTACTGCCCACCCAGGGGCATCGGGGGCGCGGCCTGGTCTGTGTCACTTCTGCATGGTCTGGGGCATTCGCCTGCTCGGGCACCTATTGATTCAGAGGCATGCACACGCCGCTCCGCAGGATGTGGCCTTCCGTCACAGGTCAAGTCTCCCTGCTGGAGAGGGAGGGAGGCGGGTCCCTGGTCACACCCCTTGGCTGGCTGCACCGGAAGCCCGAAAGTCAGCGAACACTGATCGCCGCCCAGCCCAATCAGCAGTCCCTCGAGCTGCACCCCTTTTCTGAAATGCTGCTGGGGCCGGTCATGCTGGCACTGGGTTTTGAGGTAACGTGGCCGTCCTAATTGTCAAAGTTATTTTCCTTTGGATTTCCTAAAACACATTATTGTTTACCACAAAGATTCTGTGTTTACATGTTTTTTTTTCCTTCAGCTGATTGTTAGGAAATTGCTAATCCAACTACCTAGGGTTTAACCACTATCTTCGTTATTAATACCTAACCGATTTGGGATTAATGAGAAAATATACCAAACAAAAAATTTTTCCCCCGGTGGAGAATACAGTTTCTCAGACATATAGCCTTCTAAAATGCTCACATCCTGCTTAAGTGATGGCGTATTTAGTAGTTTAAAACAAAATCATCTCTCTTGATGATCTAGTTAATATAATTATCCAGTGACTATAACAAATCTCTTAAACGGACTTTTACAAAAAAGAATAAGTTTAGAAGCATAACATATGCCTAAAAAGAAGACGCTGTGTCAGTGGCTGCAGATGTTCAAGTCAGAGCTTGCCCTTCCTTCCAGAAACTTCACAGACCTGCAGTTCCCAGGCGTACGGCTTAGGTCAGTTATCACGTAATCGTTCAGCCTTCAAACTGCTACTGACCAACTGCAGACAAATAAAGACAGCGTTTCTTTAAACAAGTATCCTAGAAAATTAGGGACAGTGGGGCAAGCACCCGGGCGTCTGTATGGGGACAGGGCTCGGTCAGCCTGCGCGACACTGCGGTGAGAGCTCACCGCCCTCTGACGGCGGCTTTCCCAGCCGCTCTCACCTCACACGTCACATTCTGCGGCTCTGGCTCACAGTGATGGGGGAATCCATCAAATAATATTCTGTATGAATCGCTCCTGACAAACCTCAATCTGTATATAGTTGGGGATTTGGTTGGTTGGTTGGTTAGTTGAGTAAAATGGGGGTGTTAATGCAGAAATAGAAAATGATTTATGAAATTCAGAGAAAATATACGAAGTTTACAGAGGAACCGAAATCATAATGGGAGCATTTAATTTCAAAGGTGTAGATGTCCGGGTTCATGTAATATCCAAAATAGTAAGACCATAGTCTGGGAACAAATATATCTATAATTTTCTTGAAACAGATTTTTAAAGACCCTGTTAAGAAACTAAGACCACTAGCCCTCTCTCCCCTATTGATGTGAAGTATGTTATTTCCACTGATGGCAAACCTGTACTATCCCTTGGTTGTAGACTTTGGGTGTTCTTTCACAGGTGAATTTATGGCACATGCATGTACATTGTACTTATAAAGATAAGAAATGTAGTTTCCAGGAAGAAACCACGAACTATGCAGTGTAGACTTTGTTTGCTGGACATGCTGTTGTGTTCGATGTAGGTAGAGAAGCCGAGGTAAATGGTTGTCCCCGGGGGCTCGAGTCCTCTCGGGCCCCAGCACCTGTCTCCTGTGTGAACTGCAGTGGGGGTACATTCATTCTGGACTGCACGGCTGTTTTGGAATGCTGATGTGGAAGGATACCCTGGAGATTTCTTGAAACAAAATGTTCAGTGCATCCCGAGAAAGGTGTGAGGCTGCTAGGCAGGCCCCCGCGTGCATGGATGGACGGCACCCGCCACGGACATTTAGAACAACGCCGTGAGGCCCACAGGAGCCAGACACCTGGGCAGCTCGGCCAGCCTGTCTCGCATTGTCTGCAGATAGCCGAAGTTATTGGCCAGTAGAAAATTTTGATTACAAAACTCTGGGGTGGATGATGAGTGATGGTTAGACAGATATCTCTCACTGCTGAACTAATATTTGCATTCTTGTTAACACACATATTTCCTTGGCTATTTTGACAACCACAGTCCACACTTCACCACAGCTTAGGTTTCTCAGCGCCGAGGTAAACTTCGTATTGTCATGCCAGGGTATGCTTTCGGTGTTTTATTACTTTCCTAGGCACTGTATTTGGACCTTTCCTTGTTAATGTAGAGGCACATGTGGCCTCTCTGATCATTTACAAGCGGAAGATGACATGATGCGATGCCTGTGTGGGAAAGTACTGCCTGGACTCACCATGTCCAGCGAGTGGATTAAATGTCTGCCTCCCAAGACAGCTCTTGATGACTCCACTTAGTAGATTCTATATGTGCCGGGTGTTCCTCTGTACATATGTGTGTTAAATAAAGCTGGATTGTACTGAAGATTGTTTTTCCCATTAAAACCATTATTCACTCTTAAACATTCTCAATTGAAATCCATATGCTTCCCCCCTCCATCCCCCCCACTCCCTTTGGTACCAAATCAAGCCTTCCATTTCCATCCAATTATTCATTTCCCCAGAGAGCTAGCTTCAGGAAAGGTGAACTTGTTCACAAAGGACAATAGCGCAGCAGCTAGGGAGTCCCCCTCCTGCAGTGCCCAAATGTGAGCACCGAGAAACACCCTACCAGAAACTCAACAGCACCCTCTGTGGTTTGGGCAAGGGAATTGCATGCACATTGCTCTCATCTCCACCCCAAGTTGCTCCTAAATGGATTGTTAATTGTACCAAGTTATGTCTTGTCAGATGCGATGACGTGGGTTGGCGGCCCCAAGATAGGGGGCTGGATTGAGATCATGCAATTCACTTAATTTAATACTCGTTTGGAGTTGGATTTGAATCCCTGAAGTAAAGGGTGGAATTGGTTTTCAAAAAAGCAAGAGTAACAAAAGAGATCATTATGGCTCACAGAGGGTTACATGTGTAAGTAGTGAGTGTACTTCTTTAATTTTCAGACAAGAACATAGAACATCTTGAAATGAGTCACTCGTCATGTAGCCGAATAATTTTCTTTAAGAAATAAACATTAAAGGAGTGGATGGCTGCGTCTTGGCCCTACCTAGTCAAATGCCCAGTGTCCATCCCAGGAATTGTGTTAGCATCTCCTGATGACTTAAATGTGTCCTTCTAGGGAAAACGGGGCAGCACCAGTTCTATATGATTGGTGATCACATAAACCGATCAAATGCGGAAAGGGCATGACATTAATAGGAAGGTAAAGCCAACCCGTGCAGGGTGAACTTTCACCTTTCACCCCTCGGCTGACTGACAGAGCTGAGTGTTGAAGAAAATCAATACTTTGGAGCCAGGAGGGAGATATTTCCAGCCTCTAACTAGAGAATGTATTTTGACAAGGCCAAGATAATCCACGCTGCACAGGAGAAAGAGAAAGAAGACTCATTTTTAAAGCTTGACACTTCAAGGTGTTTTTGTCCAGTGGTTTCGAGAGCGTCAATACATACAAATACCAAAGGTCAAAAAGAAAAGCTGGAGGAATTTCAAAAATTAGATGTTCAGTTCTTTCTGCTGTTTACAAAGTAAAAAAAAAAAAAAAGGCCACAGGGAGGCTTGTGCTTGTAATTGTTGTTTAAAGGAACCGAGCTCACAACCTAAGGTTTTATAGAGGCAGCGCCATGAAGAGAGAAGGCAGCTCGACTTCTGGTTTCTGTACATCCCCCCCCCCCCCTTGGTTACATCGCTTTTGTGCTGACATCTCAGAATCTTCTTGCTTTTTGATTCTTGTTGGCAAATCTTGGACCCTCCTTCACATCTGATTCAATCATTTGCATGAGAAAGGAGCTCATGTGTCTTTAAAACTTAAATTGTTTCTAGTTTCCCAAGCCCCGTTAAGCAAATTAGTTATGAAAGCATCCTCATTAGTGCTTTTAAAGTGAGAGAGGAATGCATCTCTAGGAAACAGGTAAGCAATTCATCGCACTCTCCCTGGCAAGGCTAGATCCACTCATTCTGTCCACAGTGCCTCCACCAAAGAGAGACAGATTCTTTCCTTTCCTACAGAGAAGAAAACAGTCGAGCTGCCCACACCATCCCGCTGAGTGCAGAAGGACAAAGGAGTCCTGAGGAGGCAAAATAACTAAAGCAGTGGTTCTCAACCTTCCTAATGCCGCGACCCTTTAATACAGTTCCTCATGTTGTGGTGACCCCCAACCATAAAATTATTTTCGTTGCTACTTCATAACTGTAATTTTGCTACTGTTATGAATTGTAATGTAAATATCTGATATGCAGGATGTATTTTCATTGTTGAAAATTGAATATAATTAAAGCATAGTGATTTATCACAAAAACAATATGTAATTATATATGTGTTTTCCGATGGTCTTAGGCGACCCCTGTGAAAGGGTCGTTCGACCCCCCAAAGGGTCGAGACCCACAGGTTGAGAACCGCTGATTTAAAGGCACCTCTGTTTTCTCCTGTGAACCTATGCTAATTATACGATGATTAAAATAACAATGAACATCTCGGCTTCATTTACATACCCTCTTTCTCATTAAAACAAGATTGTAAATACCTGTGTTCTTTGGGAAACATTGGATTTTTGCATTGTGCTTTTATGTAGACTCTAATAACAGGTCTGGACATCTTTCCCAAAGGGGTGTCGCTGGTTCTACTTGAATTCTCCAGGCTCTTCACTACATTGTAGGTGTTGCTATCTTCTCACCAAAATGTGTAGACACTGAGGCAATCCCAAGAGATATGCCAGTGCATGGGGCTGGTTGGCTGTGGCTGTGGAAGTTGTGAGTGGTTGCGCAAAAAGAAAGGAGTTCGCCACATTAAATTCAGGACATGTATCAGCATCAGGGACGTCTTTGACTTATTACATGATTATCTTGCAAATAGACATCTACGGAGACTGAACAAGACTCCGGTAAAGTATTACAGAGTGGTTTTACACCTGCACTTTCACACCTCCCAGTTCGGCGCCTGCAGGAACTGGGAGACGGAAGCAAAGGGAACTGCGTGCACTGCTGTTGCCAATAGCTTCTTGTTTTGACTAGTGTCAAAATGACTTAGCACTTGGGTTTGCCCACAGGTGAAATGTATTGTCTAAAACTTGCCCCACCCAGTGGCACTTTAAGTTTTAGTTAAAATTTATGACTGAAGATGCTACAATGAAACTTCATTTTTCTTCAGTCTTCAAGCATTTACTGAATCTCAGCCTGTGCCAAGCGTATGTTCTGTATCCTGTTTTTCTTTTGCTGATGAGGCCACAGTCTGGCCAAGGATATAACACTACGTAACAAGTGCTCAAATAGAGATGCGTGAAGAGAACACCCACAGTGACTCATACTGAGAGGGTCCTGTCAAGTTAAGCTTCCCAGAGAGGAAGCATTTTGGCTGGGCCTTGAAGCCTAACTTAATAAATTAATTAGGAGCATGAAGATGTTATATGGTAGGAATTTGGGGGAGTCTAACTTATTGTGAAATCTGAAGGGAGAGAAACTTCTTCGAACCTCCCATCTGAGGGGCATCGGCAGGCACTGCTGACAGTCCAGGCAGCTCTAACTTAAAGCTCTGCCTACGGCCACATGAAACAAGTCTCCTGGGGTGAAGGACACTTGAGATCGGGAAGGCAAAAACCCTAAAAAAAGATTACAGCAAAAACCATAATAAAAGATTCATGACTTTTGTTTTCCAGATTTCATTTCTTTTTTAAAAAAAAGTTATTTTTACTTAAAAAATAAGATACGCGCCCTCCCTATATTCTGTGTGTGGACAACATGACGTGTTGGGTGCCTGTCATGAGCACGGCCCAGATTTCCACCCCAACTCCCAGCCCAGCACCGAAGCACTTTCCCCCCAGCTGCTGGGAGGGTTGGCATCCATGGCTCTGCTGAGTCCTTCCCAGGAGATTGCTTCACAGCCAGAGAGCTGTCTGCCTCAAGGTCACTCGCTCTCCCTCTCCTGGGGTGACCACATTAAATGATGGGTCAGAACGACTTGGACTTTGACGGCCCCTCCCAGCTCTAGCACCCCCTCCACTGAAGTGCGTGTGTCACAGTCAGCCCAGCCCACTCTTCACTCCCCTAGAGTGTTGATCCTGAGAACTCTTTCCCGTAAACTTCCTCTATGCAGATCTCTCTCTAGCTCATAGTCTGCATCCCCCAGAACCCAGCCTATGAAGTTGGTACTAGGCGTGGTGCAAGGAAAAGGATCTAAAATAGGATTTGGGGTCTGAGCACCCACTGAGCCAAGACAGTGAGGATCCTCTCGCTGGTGGGGTGACCGTGGGTACCTTCTGGCGTGCTGGGGCCGTGCATGGTGAGCTTTCAGGGGTATAAGACTTGATGGTGGATTTAGGATGGCGTCCCGAGGGAAGGAGTCTGCAGCGGGAAAGGTGTTTGGGAAGTAAGGGAAAACAGGAATTACAAGGACAGTGGATTCCAATAGCTGTTGTTGGACACGCTGGAAAAAAGACAATGAAAAGCTGAGGGTGATTAATCACCAACTAAAGGCTGAATGTGCAGGCCAGAGAGTCCTTGGCAGCATAAGGAGCGCCCCATCCCTGCAGTGAGCTCAAGCTGTGGTCAGGCCCAGGGCTCGCGTGGTGAGGGGAGCTCTGGAAGAGGCTGAGGTCCTGGCCTCCAAAGGGCCAGCACCCGTGGTCAGAGCCCTGACTGAGGTGGATGGGGCTGTGGAAGCCGATGCACTGGAGCGATCTTGAATCCCTGGGTTCTCGTGAACTCTCACCGTCCTGCCTAAGTGCCCACTCCTTTGTTTGAGGACCTGCAGAGGCCTCTCCCTTGCATGACCACACTCTCCCCCACCTCCTTTCCTGGCCATTAGACCACTTAGCCAGGGGTTAGTCACAATCAAACCTGGCTGTGGGGGTGCTGGGCCTGTAAGAACTAGATCCCAAGGGAGGTGCAAGGCCCAGCTAGCATGCACCTGCAGGAACTGGGAGAATTATGGGGCTGGATTCTGGGGGTATTGGGTCAAGGGGAGACAGACTATCAATAAGATGAAGGGGAGTTTATTGATATGGGATTTAACACCCTGGCAAGGACCCAGGGACAGGGTACCACTCAGCTTGGAGGAAACAATGGCTGATGTGAAGCCAAGGAGAAATACGCCAGAGCTGCCCCTGCAGATGGTGGAAGAAAGAAGGAAAAGCTCAGCGTGGTGGGACTGCTGGAGTAGACAAGCTGTGTGCGGCCAGAAACCCACCGGGGCCACTCCGTGAGGAAGGCCGGAGGACATTCTGGTTCCAGGGGACCAGGACTGTGCTGGTGAGAGGGCCCCAGCAGCACCGTAGGCCAGGGCTGAGGGGAGCGGTGCCATAACCGCACTGGGCCCTGATAACAACGGGACGATAGGGTCCTGAAACAATAGAGACCACTGGGTGCCATTTTCATTATGGGCAGCAAAGATGGAGTGGTAGTCAGAGTGGTGTGAG